AACTAGATGACCTTAGCTGCGTGCCACCGTCAATGCCGTCCTTCGTCATCTCTGGGGTTGGGTGAAAGCAGAAAGCCACAGATCCCGGTCTCAATGTACTATTTTGATTAGAGATTAGTGACAGACACTTTGATGAAATTGGTTTGCTTTTTTAGCTTTCTATTCGTTTTCGGGAATGTGATGTCTGTGTAATCATAATTTTGGCCCACCCTGTATTTATAGCAAGCGTCGTTGCTATTGACGTACCCCCAAGGATTTTAATGAATCTTTAATGGACTTCAAAATTAATTTTTTTCTCAAAATCCTCAGACCACCACTTTGTGGAGCTTGACATATGAGTTGGACCATATAGCATACTGTATAAAAAAAGTGAAACCAACCTAGTTATATAGATAGAACGAAAATTACGAAAAACACGAAAAAACGCCAAATCGCTTTTTTCTGCAATTTTTTGAACGAATATTGTGGGTATCCTAAAAGCCGTACTTCGAAGACGCTTCCCCCACCGTGTGCTGCTCTCAATCACTACTTTCATGGATCCATTTTTCCCAATTGCCCATTTTTTTTAGGCCAGTAGTCGATCGGAAATGGTATTTACACACATGGCATGTGCAGTAGCGCTCAAAAGTCTTCGGCCAAACGCTCTCACGCTTTTTTGTTCATAATTTTTTTAAGTGGAGCAAATCGCGCAAAATTTTGATTTTTTTAATGAAAGCATATTTCCCACTACCTGTTGACTGTAAAGCAGCAGTAGAAGCAAGGTGCTTGTTGCGGTAGGAGATTTCGCTAATAGCAAAGTCAGTGACACTGCTGTTCGCACCTTTTGTGAGTTTTTTTTCTCTACTGTGTTCGGCATCAAATCTCGTACACTTCAGGCATGGCAAAAAGGAAAGAATTTCTGGGAAGGTGATCATTTGTGTTTCTAGTCGATTCAGAGTTCCAGCCCTTTGGGATATCTGGAGCATGATCAAATGCAGTTTAATATGTAGGGATAAATATTTACAATGCACCTATGCTACACATATCGAAATTTCGCATGATTACATCCAATAGGAAAGGAGTTACGACTGGAAAGTATAACTGAAGAAGCATTTGGCCGAAGATTTTTGAGCTCTACTGTAATCTGATCTGTTGATGCCCTAGGAATCGTTTTAATGCATTGGTTTTATCTTCATTGAAACTTCGAGGATGGCCTAAGACAGATCACGACTCGAGCGAGTGTGAATGGTGGGAAACTACTTTCAGTTACGACCATGATCGACTTTCGATTTATATTGGCATGATATGTGTCCCAATATGGAGGTGTTCTTGTGCAGCCTCGGCCGTTTAGTAAGGCTATTACCAGTTGTGCTGGACTGTTTTTTTTTTGAGAACTTCGGTGAGACAATTTGGCTTTGCAGTTTGCAATACTTCTACACAAACGTCGATATTGCAAGCTCTCAATTCACTGGGAAATCAAATGCACCTTTGACCGACCCATGCCTTCGAATGGGAAAGGTGTTTTGATGGATTGGTTCCACTCAACCACGCATTTTTTGGCAAAAAATCTTTTCACCCCTATAACACTATCATTCATGCGTAGCCTCATCACTTCCTGATTTACGTCGGTTTTTCGAAGGGAGAACAACCGGCATTGGATGTAGTACATTATCGACAGGAAGCCTTGTGAATTAGGAAATAATATCTTTACAGAACAAGCGTTATGTTTAGATTGATACACACTTTTGTGAAGAACTCTTGGCCTCGTGTAGCACTTCAGAAAAACTACGACCATCCCCCTCCCCAGTTGCTCGCGTAGTTCACTTGTGCAGATTTACCACAACCACAGTAAAACCTTTAAAGCCTTAGTCGCATTATCAGATTATAAAAAACATTGTTCAAGAATGGCGTAAACGTCAACAGCCTTGATTAAAAGTTGTTTGCTCTCCTGCAGATATTGTACTAATTGTAAGGGATATATTAAGAACAACAACATTGGGTCAGGAATATATCGGCGTTCGGTGGGTAAGTGAATCTCAGCACTAAAAACGGGTCACCGTTTGAAATCGTTTTTTCGAATATAGCACTTTTTCCTTGGAAAAAAGAACCGATCAAGCAAAACGAAAAGTAAAGAAGCAACGATTTCCTCAACCGCTGCCCACTGCGCCATCGTTTATGGCCACAATCGTTTGTGGGTGATTTCGGGTGGTTTGCCCATTGATCGTGTGTTCGTTCCGAAGGTCGTCTGGTCCGTTGACGAGTCACATTCACTCTCTTTCTCTTCTTGGTATGTGGGGTGGGAATTGCGTGTGCGGTTTCGCGATTGTCCCATTAACCCATCATTTCGAGCGCCGTCGTCGTCCTTACAAATGACCGCCAAGCCTAAACAGCCTTAAGAATTCAGCAAGTGCTGCTAAATAAACCCTTCCAAAAACCCCATTAAATTTGCAAAATAATTCTCTTTCGCCTAACTTGGCCCNAGATTTCATCGAAGGAGCCTCTCAAGCTGCTTGAGATCCTGTTATGCTGTCTTTCTATCAGCTCACCGCTCTTTAAACAAGTCTATCAAGTTGTTTAGAAGAAATTTCCACTTGCTGCTGCTTACAGCAACAAAACAGTATCTCCACGAATAGCTCGAACTCGTCACTTATGAATCTTGATTTCCGCTTATCGAATGCTGAGAAGATGAATTTTTCACCTGTGTGCATGATATTTTTTAAACTGGTTTAGGCAAAACCGGTTCAGTTGCTTTATTCCTGAGCAAGCCGATGACAGACGATGATCTGGAGTCGATTATCGTCAGTGCTGGTTCGGCCTATTCTGATGGACGATATTTGGAAGCGCTGGACTTGTACGAGAAGGCGATTGCTGCGAGACCTACGAATGCAATCCTCTTTGCTAACAGAGCAGCGATTCTTCTTCGTCTCGATCGGCTTCAGGAAGCTCTCGGCAGTGCCGATCGCGCCATCGAGCTCGATTCCACGTGGGCCAAGGTGAGAAACATCGAAAATCATTTTTTAGCGCTGCCAACTTGAAGCACTTAGGTAGGCACTGAACTCACTCAGTGTTGTAGACGGGATTGAGGATCCAACATGATGCTGATTACAAAGAAAACTTTTTTCTGAGATTTGATTCAAGCCGTCATCGTGAAACCTTTCTGTCATTGCTCACTTTGGGGGAAATGGTCTTGATCCTTCCCAGCACTGTTGTTCATGGTCACCTACAACTTGGCACGTCACTTGTGTATTCTCACAATTACGAAAATGGAATTGAGCATTCGGCCACGAGCATTCGGCTCCTACAGTGACCTTACGAAAACTAATGCAAAGTACTCAGAATATCGGGAAAATATAGTTCCTTTCACTGCATTACGCTATTTAAATCCACCAATTCTCAACCCACAGTGCATAGTCATACAGTGCTTGTATGGTACTCGTTCGAGCAGGGAGCCACAGCCGGACCACTGTCAGGGCCGAATGCTCGAACCAAGTTTCCTTTCTACTAATCTCAGTATCTACTCGATGACATCGCAATTGAATACCCCTCCATTTTGCCTAAATTCCCATTCTCTACTTCTTGGACGGTTCTTCAACAAGGCTCGATCTTGTCTTCCTGAATGCTGGTACCGAGCTTTCTCTTCTATCAAATTCAGTACCTACTTCAACACTTTATCGATGACATCGTGATTGAATGTCCTTTCTTTTTGCTTTATTTCCCACTCTCTATTTCTCGGGTGGTTCTCCAACAAGTTTCGATCTTGTCTTCCTTCCTCATAATCACCGCGTATTCGTGTTTAATGGGAATGAGGTATGAGCAGCCGGTTCGACATTTATCTCCACAGGACATAGAAGGCTGTTTCTGGAATTGAATAGCAGTCAATCACTCTATCGCGAGCAACGATGAATGGTGGGGGCCTTATAGTTGACATTCTGAAAAGATACAAAACTTCTTATATAAGCATTTTCAACCGGCTAGCACTGATAGGGTGGCGTCTACTAGTTTCCAAAAAAGAAGCTTAACGAATAGGAGTTCCTGGCAGTCAAGAGAGCATTACGAACAACTTCAGGAGGAGAAAGAAAAGAGCCTTACTGGTTGAGCCAAAGCTGGGCTCTAAAAACTATGGTGCAAGAAACTGGAGGTAGCCTATTGCACTTCCTTGCAACCAACTTGTCGTGCTGTACCAATGAGATGCTTCTATTAACGCTTTCGCTTTCACTTTTCAGCTTAAGAGTGAAGTCTACGGAGTAGGTGCACCCTGTGAGCCGCAATCTGGACTTTTTATTATCGTTTATTAAATTTTTTGCTTCGGATATCCGGTATGATAGTCATTCTCTGGCTGACCTTGTCACCATGCACAGTTTTCTTGATGCCTCCTGACACCTTTGATAGATTCTCCTGAACTTTTTTAACAGAACCAACTAGGAATCGCCGTACATCACGAGTGTGACCGCAAAAAATGTTGCAAGTGCGTGCGGGCCACCCAGCACGGGCAGCTCTGTCATTCCTTTGAAACTGTCAGCCCATCATCCAGTAGGTATGGAAAGAAATCCTTCTGAGGTAAATGTATTGATGCCACATAACTCGCTTCGGATAAAGGGCAGCGGTACCAACTCATACATTAGTTTTTCTAGAAATCTTGGCTAAGCAATAGAAGTTGCGGTCATTGAATTCATCCCCATCGCAAAAGCTCGCATGACGTATTGTGTTTCTATACTGGTCATTAGACAACCCAAAACCTCTTCAACATCGAACTCCCTTTAGCAAAACTGGCTACAGTAGGCTAGAATTGCCAAAAAATACCTTCCACTGGTCACATTCGTAGTACTTCGTCAGGACCTCGACAACGGCGTGAGCCGGTTTTGCTCCTGTAGGCAAGCAATTGACGTGGGTTGCTGACTTACCCTTACACTTCTGCTACGCATCGACCAAGACAAATAACAGCAGTGATCTGTTTCTGAAAGGACAATTATGGATTCACATCTAACAGTATCACTGTTAGCTCATAGTCATGCCCTTATGGAGTCATTTTGCAAATCCTCATCAAGACGGAACCGATTTTTTCCTTTTGTAATGTTTTGAAATAACAATCTCCAACCTATGACCAATCGCCCTCTATCCATAGGCTTACTTCCGTCGTGGCGAGGCTCTTCGACGCTTGAACTTGCTGTTAGAGGCTGTTGTCGCATTGAGCCAAGGAGTCTCTTTGGATCCTTCAAACAACCTGATTGTCGACTCTCTTATCGAGGCATCGCAGCAATTATTCAGTGAGTTTCAGTTTTGGTCTTAAATTCGGTCTAGTAGATATAGTGAAGGGAATATTCTCAGAGAACTTCCCCATGAAGCGCCTTGAGAGCGTGGGACTAGAGCAGGATCGGTTCACAATACTGACAATGGTTGGACAAGAGCTGGCCTCGGCCAGTCATCTTTCAGGTTAGTTCTCTTTGAAAATGAGGTTCCTCTTCACATAAGAAATAGCACCTTTTCCTGCCTTTCACACATAATCCTTCATCTAGGAGTTCTTTCCCTTCAAGGATCCTTATCAGCTCTACTAGCTGTTATCACTTCCAACCACCCATTATTGATATTCTTATTCCATTGAATCTTTTTTTCACGAAGAGAATGCTCTGGTTCTACAGCAGTAGGAGTCATGGATTTTGAGTGCATTGAATGGTAATCTAAGTGAGTGAATGACTTAAAGGCGCAGTTCATAATAATTTGAGGAAACTTTCAAGATGAAAAACGGAAATGTTGATAGAGAGATGCATTGATGAAAATCCTTCAGATCAACAAAATAGAACACTTTTTCAAATTAGTCAAGTTCGGAACTTGAGATTATAAGGACAAAAGGACGAGAGTGAGTCGTGAGCAATTCCCCGAGTAGGTAGCTACAGTAACCCTGCTCCTATAGAACCGCTTTTCCACTGACGCTTTAGATCACGGTCCTGAACGACCAAATGTTTGAATTTTCAACGCACGTGTTCCATAATGAATAGGTGTAGGCCGACGTTGAAACGAGGCCGCCTGTGGACGCGATCACCGGCTCTGCCGGTCTTTGAGCTCATGTTGCGCTCCATCTAGGCCCATTTTCGTCCTTACAACGCCCCATGTGACATCTTTTGACGCTACAATTTCGTCCCGATAGGAAGCTTTGGAAACCTTCCTAACGTGCATCGTGCCTCGATTGCAATATAATAGAAAGCACAGCTGTGATCTAAAAAAGCATCTACATGGACATTGTTTCTGTAGTTGTGGGAAATCATCATTGACTTTCCATAGACTGAAATTCTGCCGTATTCCGCTTTCGGAGCTAGAAAGAGATTGAGATTCCATGCTCAAATCCTGAAACTAAGAAAACTTAGAACTATTAACTTGTTGATTATTGACTCTTCGGGTTTGCAGAAGCATCAAAAGTCCTCACCTTGGCGCTCACCCTTCACAGTCCATCCTTGCGCCTTCGGGAGTCGGCACTCACTGCATTGGCATCGGTTCATTACTCCCTTGGAGAATATCACAAAGCAACATTCTGCTACGAAAAACAGCTTGAGTTACGCGCACAAATGGGTAAGTTATTCAGAGATGGGATTTCATGGTATATAGAATAGCCATTCCAGATGGTCCACTAGCGAGTGTACACGATAATATCGCCACGACCGCAGAACTGGCTGGAAACTATAACCTTGCTTTGTCACACAGGAAGCACCGCCTCAAGGTAACTTTCATGGAGGCGAAAACATTATGAGTTTCCTTTATGAGAAGTGTTCAGTTTCTGGAAGGCGTTGATGCCATGGACGAGAGGCTCAAGATCGCCGGCCTGTTTTGTTCACTAAGCCAGGCCGATGCTGCTCTCGAGCAGTACGATACTGTTGAAAAATTGCTGATGTCTACGGTAGAGGAAGAAAGAGCAAGAATCGCAACGAAAGTCAGCATTGGTAGAGGCATCGCATATTCCTCCATGGTAAGTTTGTCGATATCCCAGAGATGATAAACAGAAAAAAGTAGAGGAAGGTGAAATAGGCAGTAGCGGCTCATTAATAAAGGAACCCGTGTGTAACTATTTCAATAAGAAGATTTCTAATTGAAAATTCTAAAGAGCGATCAATAATAAGTGATTTGTGATAAATCAAGAAGTGAAGCCACAAAGAAGTCATGACTACACTTTTAATCTAAAAAGATGGATCTGACGGCCAATGATGCCTAATCTATTAAAAGGCAATCACATTCATTCGAGGGTGGGCCAAAGTCGTTTTCTTAAGTGCATTCATATACTCAGCTAAGCTGGCTGATGTTAAATATGGCGTTTACATCGTCATGTAAAGCGAATTTGAGAGCTTTACATATCGAAATATGGCTATCTCTAAACTTCATTTACGCTTCTTATGAACGTCTTGCATATGCACTTTTTGAAGTTATTGTTCTTATACTTTCGTTGATGAGCTTTCGGATATCGGGGAAGGTTAGGGAGTGCACCTGTCGGGGGAACTCGAAAGGATAATAGATGACCGTTCTGGTCTTGAAGTGAAGAAGTATTGTCATTCGACCAGTCTCAAGAAATCACGCTTCTGCTGTTTCTCCTGATTTCCAGCTTGATACGCTATATTTCCCTGCTTGCTTGCTTCCATGATTTTTTTCTCCCGAGGCGTACCAGATATCTATGTTTGCAGGCGTGACCTACTGAGACTGATTGCATGACAACATCGCCTGAGGGTGAGAGCGGTGTCCCCATTCACTTTCTCAAGTTCCCCGTCGACAAATCCACTTCTTAACATCCCCGAAATTTCCCCTTAGTCTTATGTAATTTTATGTGTTCTGTGTTGTATATCGCAACCCTGAGATCTGACGAAGGCTATGCCGAATGGTCACCCATAAAAGTGTAGAAACAAGGGCTTCGAAAAAGAAAAAAAAATGCGAGACAACAATGACAAATTTGGGTTAATAAAGTAGTAGAGGCAAGAAAACGGAGTGTTGGATTTCCTGAATACGATAATAATTCGAAGGAAGAAAACTACTATCTGTGTTAATTTACACTCATTTTTCAAGGGCGAGACATCAAAATGCCTCGAACAGCTTTCCACAGTCTGTCCTACGAACGAAGAGGATGCGGTGAGAGTCGCAGATTCAATTGTCTCTTGTCATATCAGAGACGGCAACATCCAGAATGCCATCGAATATCTAAACAACTTGTTGAAGCGGTCATCTGAGAACAATCAGCAAAAACTGGTACGCTTGATAGGTATTCCGATACATGTTTTCATCTGATTGATTACATCATATTACAATTCATAAAATCTGATTTAGTTTGGCCACACATGCTTCCTGCTGGCTCGCGAGCACATTCGAAATGGACGGCCAACAAGCGCTGTTCGACTCGCGAAACGAATTCTTCGGCTGGCCAGAACAACCTCTGATGGATGTTTGGAGAAGGCTGGTTTACAGCTGTTGGCCACTATTCACGAAGAACAAAATGATCTGCAGTCGGCTACAGCGCTACTTCATAAGTACTTGGAGGTGGACAGAGTGACATTGCCGGAAGCGGTGAACGCTCTGCTTAAGTTGTCATCTCTTGCTAAGCGGTCTGGTGCGGATCCTATAAGCCATCTGAACAAAGCGTTGAAGCTAGCTGACGGCTCTGGTAATCTCGACGTCGTCGTGCTGGCGAGGTCTGCAATGCTTCGTCATTTGACAACATTGAGACAAGCCGACAGCAAGTCTGAAATTCATCATTTGCTTCATTTGCAAAGAGAACTTCTCAAATCTGACATAAGTAAGCCCTTTCTAAATTCTTGGTCTCATTTCTTGACCATCAGGACCTGTCTAGGTGTATCCTCAAGATCACTGGTTTTCGAAGATTTGGCAGTGTGCGAGACTGCAGAGACTAGTGGAATTGGCGAAATTCACGCTCTTGAGCAGAGCCTTACCGAGGTCAGCTATTAGTTTTTCTGTGTTGATGTGTATTCCTGCACTCTTCTCGAACCCCATTTTGGCTCTATATTCTGTACACTTCCTTCCGTAATTCTTCTATGACTTTCACCTGTACACTACTTCAAACTATACAGGTGGAAATCATAGAAGAAAAGAAGAGAAATCCCAACCCTCAGTAAAGGAGACGCCTATCTCACAAGGTTTGATTTCTTGCTTCAACTATAATGTCTGTTGAACACCTCGCATTACAGGCTCAGGAAGCTAACAATACCCGCCGTGAACTGTTTTTATTGGAAAAAATTGGAGATTGCCTGCTGGGAATGGAGAGGTACACTGAAGCGGAGGGATTTTACCAGCAACTGCTCACCTTGGCTCAACAAATGCGAGCTGTCACCCAAATCAAACGAGCATACATGAAATTAGCCATGTAAATCTTACAAAGAACATTTGAAGGTTCCATGCCTTCCAGTCTACCTCTTAATGTTCAGTCTGGCTGCAGGATTCCAGAAGTGGTCTCGTTGTTCAGAACTAGCCAGAAGAGCTCTCACCCTATCTCGGTTCTTCTACGACCACGCCTCCAAGGCACACATGATGTATCTGATCGGGAGGGCGGAATTGTCTAAGTGCTTAGGTCTACCGAAACTCTGTATTTGTGATTTCAGTAACTGCTCATACTTTCAGAGGAAACAACGAACTTGCTCGATCTATTCTCAAGAAGACAGTTGAACGGTGTGAAGAGCATGGACTCTACACAACAATGGCACTGGCGACGAGATACATGGTGGAAGCGGCAATCAGCTGCAAAGAGCATAATACGATTGTGAGTTTTGTTTTTTTCTATGCAAAGCCTCTGCTTGTATCGGGGGAGAGGTGGTGTGCAGAGGTTTGAACAGCACTCTCACCCCAACGACAAGGTATTAGGTTGATGCATAATTATTGCGGATTTTTTCGCGGCTTTTTTTCTCTCGATAGAACTTGAATATTGAGTTCGGATTTTTTCTAGAAATGGTCTACTTGATTTTCTCTACAAGAATATACTCAAAAAACCACCCGCATATTCGCGAAATTAGGCTTAACTACTTCGAGAAGGATTGGAAGGTGGCACAGTCATTCCGCGATCTCAGCAACTTTTCGGCGATCAAACAATCAGCCAGAGCCAACCGATAAATGGGATTTGCCCCTAAATCTGCCATATTCACCAGCAGAAACTTTTATGGATCATCTTGTCAACCGTTCATCGAAAAAATGGCTAGAGAATAGAAGTTAAGTCGATTTGGATGACTTGGTGGCCGATGTCAAGGCGT